TGCTCTTTGATGTCTTTGAGCTGAGTTTCCACTCTCTTCTTCAAACTCACAATAGCTTCAAATATGGCATTATAAGAGACCTGGGATTTGTCTCCCTTTCCATGGCCCCCACTCTTTTCTCAGACAGTCTGAAGTTGCAATCTGAGTCAGACTGTGACTTCAATGGAGTCATTGGACCTGAGCCTTCACAGTCATGATCGTTTTGCATAGAGTGACTGTTCAGGGAGCCATCTTTGTACCACCTTTATTTAAGAAGGCTGCCTCCAGGAAGCCCCTGTCTAAACCCACTGTGCAGGCACTGAAAACTAACCCCCACTTTTTCCATCCAGGAGGGGGTGATTTGAGGCCAGGCGGGGTGATCTTGGCTTAAACTTGAGAGGAAGTGACTCTTTTAGCAGCTAATTTACACATGGTAGGAACTTTTCATTTTAGCAAATGTCTACCGTAAGTAGGAAAAATCCTTTTACCTGCCTCGATAGGTCTGGACTTTTTTTTTTTTTTTTTACTGTGGCCAAAAATAACCAGTGCCGTCTCATATATCTAACAGCTTCCTATGTTTTATTATTATTTTTTTTTTTTTAGATTTTCTATGAGAAGGATTCATAAATCGAGGAAAAAGGGACATACCAGGGTACTTTTAGATCATTGCCAGTAAAAACATACATCATATATGAATCAAGACAACACTTCAAATGTTAAACTGGTAAAATTCTATAAACATATTCCCATCTCAACAATAAAATGATCATAAATTGATTTTTTTTTCTTAAACTCTGACCTTTTCTAAGCTCATTATCTGTACACCTCAAGACTGTAAAATACACCCACTATCATTAACAATTGCTGCATATTTAACTTATGTGAAGTGAGTCACCACTGAGGCACTGTACTGACAAAAGCCCCCATTAACATTATTACTTGCCATTGTACTTTGTAGAACTGGAAAAGATAAAGTGTTTTCTTTCACAGAGGTTATTTGAGCCATGAAATAAGATGGCAATTATTATAGTATTTGTCTCACTTTGTGCAAGGTGACAATGTAAAAGGGACCTTGAATCTTTAATGTGTAAGTAACACCTACTAAAGTATTTCAATTAATATGAAACTTAACAGGAGCTCATGTTGGATCATATACATCTGCAGACATACCATTTTTGTCATACGTTGAAAGATTAAAATGTGTTCTGCCACAAGATGGCACTAAACTGCTGTCTTTCTTTTCTATAATATATATATATATATATATAGGATTCATGTTCTGTCTATGACATGACATCTATGGACAGCCCATTTGGAGGAAATGAGCATACATTATTGCTTTACATGTACTTATATATGTGACACATCCATATATACGCACCTTTATTTGTTTTTGCATGTTTAATTCAGAGCTTCAGTATTAGCTTCAGTAATAGTTACACATTTGTAGGTTTTTTTAAGCTGCAGTTCAGATTTGACTATCATCATCCATATGTGTTTCTGGAAGTCTAAACATCCAAAATAGGCACAGCAGTCTGTTATCTCTCTACATCCCACTGTAGAGTTCTTACTGTTGACCTCTTGAAAGGTAAAGGAACGTGAACTAGGAAAAGGAGCCAGGGGCTATAAAAAGCAGCCTGTATGAATAAGCATTTGAACACTAATTCAATGAAAAATAATCAGTCAGAAACAGATGTTTGAATGACAATACCTTGTTGATATCAGTAAATAAAAAGGCCCAGTGTTTAGAGCCGAAATCTTGCAAGCGGCTCTTCCTTTGAGGTTATACGCAGACGACCCATTTTATTGTGTTGTATATTTGCAATGACCAATCAAATTTAATTATCTTTTTGGTGATGAATAAGTAGATTGGCATGGGATGATAGAGAGGCAGCAATGGTTATGATGTTGCCTACATTCAGCTCTTCATGACTGCAGTGTTTATGCTGGCTGCACCCATCTCAGTCCAAAAGTGTCAAATGATACCATAAAGCAGAGATAAAAGTTCTTTGAATGTCTACACAGAGGCTGTAAATACAAAGTATAGTGCCTGTTGTGCTTTGTAGTTTATACCTAATAAAGTGGTCGGGGTGTGTATTTTGTCAATTGAAGAAAAGAAGTGCACTCAAGTCTAAAGCAAGGAAAAGGGAGGGCTGCCTGGTTCTAGAATAACAAACAATCTGGAAAAACAGTGGTCCAGGTTTATCCACTTTTATTTTGTGCATTTGTGCATACAGAACTTTTGCTGTAGTGAAAGATATTTTTTTGTTGTTGAGTATGTGATTAATTTATCTGCTTTTTGACATTTTCTTTGGAAGAAAAACAGGAAAAGTTTTTTGGATTTTCTACATGTAATGGGTGTCGGCTGTTTTGTTAGATGCTTTTTGTAGAGAAAGTAAAAATATTTCCAAAATCATCACAATACCATGAAAACAGACAAATTTAAGATATTTTACGATTTTTATAGTAGGCTTCTTCTGTTATATGTTTTAGTCTATTTTCTTTTGGGGTTTTTTGTTGTTTTTTTGTTTTTTTTGTGAAAAAAAAAAAGACCTCATCCGGTTAAATGATGAAAAATATTTAAAAAGTTTCATTTTAAAATTTAACTTGGCTTTTAACTTTTAATGTTATAAACTGAAAAAAAAAACACATCTCAACTGCAACCATGAACTAATTTACAATCCTTAAATGTAACATACATGTCAGGTCTGGATCATATAGCTTGAAAATCTAATCTATATCAGATCACAATTTTTTCTACCCATTCCAATTAATTGATTTTTTTCTCCCTTAAATTCATGATAAAAATGACAAATGAAATATGTTTATTTCAAAAACTACCTTTTATTTCAATCGTCCTCTTTGGGAGGAGACCTTAACTTAAAGGTCAATAAAATTTTGTTCCCCAACAAACAATGAAAATGTAAATAAACAAATGTTTGCAGCTAGAGGTGTTGCACAGTCATGTAGTTTATCAGTTATAAGTGCTTATTTAAATAAAGGAAAAGGAGGAACCAAAGTCACCATGAACTATGGAAGCCTAAGAAGTACACCGGGGGGAAAAAAATCAGGATTTTCCAAATACTGAATCTTCATAAACATAAAATTAAATTCCTCGATTTTATCAATTAATCACCCAGCCATGCTGCATAGTTTTTTTTTTTTTTTACTCTACAATAACTGATAATTATTTGGTATGATAAGATGGTACAACTTAGAAAATGAAGGATTTGATTTGCAGCCAAGTCAAAGAAGGCTGTAGATGTTTGATTAGTGTAATATATTTTATCTTGTCTAGAAATGTTATTTTTCTCTATATGAAAATAACCAATTTTATCACAACTCTTCTTCATGTTCATCTTGCAATCTTTTTTCAGGTAAGAATAGACTTGTGCCTTTGTGTATTTATTTTGATTGAAATAAAATATCATGGTGGACATCATCACATTTAATCTTTGAGTGGCAGTGTCACTATATTTACATTTACTGGATATAAAAACCAATCATACGCTTTTAGGAGAGCTACTGTTTCTTTGTATTCTGGGTTACCTTGATAATAAGTAAATATAAGAGACACTGATCCCATTGTGTTTTACCAGGAGAAAATGTTCAGTTTATCTTTATTGTTTTAAGTTTATTTACAGTATATAACAAACCACTAGTGTACAAAGACTCGCTGAGGTACAAACATTACAACATGGGTAGAGAAAAAAATTGATAGAACATGGGGCTAAAAACAAGAACAGATACATAAATAAGGCCAATGAATAAATAAAGAGCAAGACTTTAAACAAAAGAAAAGTAGAAATACTGGCAGTTATTTTTTTTTTTGGCAGAAACAGATTTCAAATGTTTTAATGAGGTGTAATACAATTTAAATTGGTCAAGAAAAAAGTTGAACCTCTCCATTTACAGCAATGTATATGATATTTGACAAGCAAGAAAACAATATTAACCAGGCAGGAACAGAAACAGGTGGCAGGATCCAGACTTCCAGGCATCCACAGGCTTCCAGGAGGGTTCAGAGTCTGACTGGGACCAGAAGCATGACCAGGTGGTCACGCACAGGAGCACACAGGATCAGGTGCAGACAGGTAGGCACAGTGGAAGAGGGTAGCCGAGACAGGACGTAGGAACCGGAACTTGAAGCAGGACTTTAAACTGGTCTCCTCCCTGGAGCCAGGCTTACTGGATAAAAACTGAACCTGCCCAAATATTGAGCCAAAAACCCAGAGGACTCCGTGGGGGAGGAACAGTGGACGATCAGGAGACGAGACAAACACTAAACCCCTCTTTCCACTGGCTGCTAGGATCCAGGACATGAACCATAAAATAAAACTGAACAGAAAGACTGACAGAAAGACAAGCAATGATCTGGCACTGAATGCTCAGGCTGAACTGAATATAACCAAGAGGAAACAGGTGAGAGGAATAAATTATGATTGAGGCTGGGAGGGAAAACGGCAGGTGAGAGGAATTACTAATTAAGGGAGAGCAAACAGGCCAGATCATGACATTCTGACTTTTTTCTCAGAATATTTTTCTCAGAATACTGACTTGCATCTCAGAATTCTGGCTTTAATCTCAGAATACTGACTTTAATCTCAGAATTATGACTATTTTCTCAGAATTTTTTCCTCAGAATTCTGACTTTAATCTCCGAACTTTGACTTTTTTTCTCAGAATTCTGACTTTAAACTCATAATTCTGACTTTAATATCAGAATTCTGACTTTTTTCTCAGGCTTATGACTTTTTTTCCCATATTAAACTGAAATAAAATGTAAAAATCAGTTAACTTTTTTATTTTTTCAGTGTCCCGATTCCTCTTCCGTAATTATTACATTCTTTTATCAGTCACAAAATATGCTCCAATTTTCAATTTTGTGTAAAATGCTGAGTTTATGTGTCCAGTGGATGTAGAAGTTGAAGGTATCCCTCCCCCGTCTGAGTGTGATTGCAGCTTTAAAGGGTCCACAATGCCTTGCGGTGTCCCAGTTCTTCCAGGGCGATGGAGCGCTCCTACCAGCAGGAGGAATCAAACCAGGAGGCAGGAGAGAGAGGAGCGTTTTCCGCAGCTCAGACCGCAGAGGACAAACACAAACTTTCACACAGCGATCCCCCCTTTTCCAAATCTGGAATCATCCACAGTCTTTCTCTGTGCGTGAAACGTGATTTCTTTTGTTTTCCTTTCCTGTTTTGACGCATATCACTGGGAATGATTCATTAAGCCATGGTGAAAGGGGATAGATTTTGCGGAATCCGCGCTTTCATCTGTGTTTTCCTCCCAAACTTCCCCACGCAGAGGGGAAACTGAGCTGGATCTGCTTCTGCGTCCAAGGTAGGAGAATATCAGAGAGCCGATTGCTGCAGACTGCTGCCGCAGTTTGTTGTAGTGTGGGGCTGAAATAGCGGAAACATTTCCATAGTGGGATACTTCTGCTACTCTGATCCAACTACAGCCCGTTAACGCCATTAGAGGCGCATCAAGCCTGCATAGATTCGCACTCTGTACTCCTGCATTTTCTTTCTGCTGTTTAGCCTTCAGCTGTAGATTAACTTCAGATGTTTTGTTTATCTCAGCTGATGCAGTTTTTTTTAATACTTGCTCAACAGGCCGAATGTTTTGCAGAAGATTCTCCTGAATGTCATTTCTCTTTCCCCACCTTCTGCTTTCTGATCTTTCTTTTATCCCCTGAAAAGCCTTTACATTCTTAAGCCCTTTTCCCTCTTTGATTTGAACTGTCAGACACATAGAGTCAGGGTGAAAAATCAGTGCTGAGCAAAGCTTTTCTATTTTTGCTTTTTCACATTTTGTCAAGTTAGACACTCATAACATCAGAGTTTATTTGTTATTTATTATTATTAACAGCTACTCACCTTAAATTAAATGTATGTTTATTCTTCTTAAGAAAAACAACACCATCTCTATCAGATTGGATGGAGAACACCTTTAAAACTAATTTAGCTGTTGGACTTTAACTGGACCATCCTAAATCAATCATATGGTTTCATTTAACTAAAACCTTCTGAAGCTTAGCTCATTTTTTCTGGCTAAAAAGTAAATCTCCAACTCGGTCAAAACCCAGTCTCATTGCCTCTTATTGATTTTTTTGTGTTGTTTTTTATTTATTTTTTTTTTTTTTTAGGGCTGCAACTAACAATTGTTTTGCAAATCAATTAATCTGTCGATTATTTTTCTCGATTATTCGTTTAATAATCAGACAGCGATGGGGTAGTGTTGGCCTAGTGGTTAGAGCAGTGCGTTTGTGTTCTAGGAGGTTGCAAATACCCGGTTCGATCCCCACAGCCTGCACTCTGGGTTCCTGAGCAAGATCCTTAACCTCACACTGCTTCCATGGTGCCGCACAATGGCAGCCCACTGCTCCCCAAGGGAATAGGTCAAATGCAGAGAGTGAATTTCCCCATTCTGGGACAATAAAGGGATTTACATTTAAAAGGTTCCTTAAAGAAGACTTTTTATGAATTTAAACCAGGTGAAACTAAAACTTTCTGGATAGATATGCTGATGAAGATTCTCAGTCATCCAGGTCATAGTCATTCCGTAAAAGTTTTAAAAACTTTTAGTCCAGTGGATTGTTTTTTTAAACCTTTACGGAATTTCTGGATAGAGCAAATTGACAGATAAACATTTTTTTTTTTTAATCTTAAATGCAAGATATTTGTTAACAATTTTGATCTAATTTATTATAGCTTTTATTGCATTTTATCTGTTTTTACTTGTGTTGTGTTTATGTTATCATGTGAAGCACTTTGTGACTTTGTCTGTGAAAAGTGCTATACAAATAAAGTTTACTTACTTATTTTACTAATTACTGCTCTAAGTTTGTCGCTCTGTCATCTAAAGTCACGTTTTAGAGTCTCTTTACTCAAGGTAATGATTAATGGATTACTAAATTAGTTTATCATTATTTGAATAAGCGATAATTGTTTCAGCCCTAGATGTTTTAAAGATCTTTCTGTATTTAGGGTAATCCATCTTACATCAGCTTTCCTTTATCCACTGAAGAAAAGCAATCCCACAGCATGATGCTACTGCCACTTTGTTTTTGTGTGTTTTTGGGGTGTTTAGGGAGATTCAGTGTCTGTTTTTAGTTCACTTTTGTTCACATTTGCAGGGCTTGTGCCAAACTTTACAGTTTAGTTTTTTTTTTTTTTATCATTTTATTTTTCATAACAGCTTTCTCCTTACCATCTGATTCTCTGAATAATGCTCTCTTTGTCCATCTTGTCAGCCATGTTTTGATAGATTGCAATTGGGCCATAATCCTTCACATTTTTAGAGGCTGGGTTCAAAGTTTTGGATAGTGATTTATATCTGAGCCCTGCTCCAAACATCTTAATTCAATCTCTGCTTTTAAGTTCAGTTATGTAGAGATGGACCCTATTTAGTTAGTGGATTTTAAAGGAAGTTGTTTGCATTTTACTCAGTTTAGGCGATAAGTTTAGAAAAAAGAAAAAAAAAAAACAGACAACACAACAAAATTACAATTTTTCGTTTTAATTTTCAACCAATTTGAATGGTTATCAATGTTCACTTACTTTCAAATTGAAATCAAGATTTTTCATGATCAATGCAGCTGACTCCCTCAAAATGTTTGTGTTATAGATGTTTAAACCTACCTTTGTCATTTTGTATATTTGTCTCATTGCTGCACAGTTTTTAGGTATATCATAACAAATGTTGGTTGAATACAAATAAGTTTCACGCTTTTCCATTTTTTTAGTTGTATTTTTGAAGTTTAAAGAGTATGAATACTTTATTGCATCACCTGTATTCCATGTGTAACCCGATAATGTACAATTATATAGTGTAAGGTCAGTTTGTTGTTAGATTACACTGTAGAGATTTTTGTAATTTTCTGGCAGCTCAAAAAAAAAATCCCCTCCTTGCTAAAAAGCACATAAGTGTGGCTATCCCAGCTGGTCCTCTTTAACCGCTAAGCTCTGTATGAGCAGTGCAAAGGAGTCCATTCCAGACGATGTTTTACGAACCTCAGTAACATGTATAAATTGGCCAGATGCCTCCCACAGTCCTGCTGTGGAGCTTCTGCGCCTCTGCCCCGCTGCAGGAGCCTCTTGCCCGCCCCTGCTGCTCCCTCAAAGCTGCCTAGTGAGCAGTGAATATGGCAGGGGAACAAAGGCAGCATTATAGCTGGCTGAACGTGCCGTCCAGATGTTGGAGATCCTGCCAGGACTGACCTCCCAAAATGAGGAAAGGGGGGTGCCTCAGCTGCTATTAGTTTAATATCAAGCAGGCAGACTCAGAGAGAGGAGTCTATAGCTCCAGGGCGGGGGCTGTTGAACAGCTCAGAGGAGCTGTGGGTGTTGTGTGTAGCGTGACTAGATGTGAGTTTAATCCCAAACTCCCCAGTCTTTAAAGTAGAGTTAAATAGTTCTGAGCAATTGCGGAGCATTGCTTATTCCCTTTAGTTTTCTTTTCAGTGGAACTTTGGTGCTATATGTTGCTCAGATAAAATACATTTTAAAGTTTTAGACTGGAAAAAAAAACCTATTGTACGTAAGTTTTGATAAATAATTTAGTAGACATTGCATCTTAAATTCAACGTTTAATCTTACGGTCTAGGAAAAACTTTGCATAAATAAGCTCTGCTTCCAAATATGAAGGGAATGTTCTAAAAGAGATTTTAGATGAATGCATCTTAAAGAAGATGCACTTTACTGTAGGGCCATTGCTGCTAGGCATCCAGGATCCCTTGGCAAGGAGGAACTCATATCTTTCTTATCTTGTTCTCGTGGCCGGTTGCTTTCTCACACTGCAGGAATGCATCCTCTGTTTGTTATCAGTTCCCACCCTTCAGGATCAAGGCCTTCCTCTGGTCTCTACCATGTTCTTTCTTTCTTTTTTCTTTATTTTACACACAATTAGTAGGCATAATTTGTAATAAGTAGCTTAGCAACTGAGTCACAACAACTGGGTTACTCCTGTCTGGATGACATGCATGGTTTTGAAACAGTCTCCATTCCTTCGCTTTGCATTTCGTCAGAACCCAAAGTTTACAAATATTTAATGTGATAGACTAACATAAAGTAAATAAAGATTTTGTAAAGTCAATAAAAGAATGAGAACACCCAAAAATGTTAACAGTAAGGTGTGTTTATGTCAAATGTCATACTTTGTAAATCCAGCTCTCTGTGCAATTGCAATGTTTTGATTCGTCCCTATTGACAATGCATACTCATTACATTTTTGCCCATTTTTATTCACAAAAGAAACCTCAATCACGCTGAATGGAAATTGTAACTGAACACAAACTTGATTTAGGTCAGAACTATAACAAGAAAATCATTATAAGGGAATTGCTTTGTTCTATACGTTTTTTCAGAAGTAGAACAACTTTTGTGTTGGTCTTTCTTCCCATCAGAGCACATTTCCCTATTTTTCCTAGATCCCCTGCATACATATCAGAGACTTCTCACTGGGCTTCTTGTTCCTTTCTTTTAAAAACTGCTTTCAGCTCTTCCTTGAAGGCCAGTGTTTTGAGGGTCGCCTATTAGTCGTCCTGACAAAAGATTTTCCTACCTGGATCTCTACTGTCCCACAGATTCTGTCCTTAATACTATCACTGCCTGGCCTGTATGTATAAGTCAGCATAACTCTTTAATGATGAATGTTTTCGTTTGTGCAATGCTTTCTTTTTCTGATTATTGATTGAACAGTGATCTGTGAGATGTTCAAAGCTATGGATGTTGTTTGAAAGCAAAACTGTGCTTTAAAGTTCTATAACCGCAGTGTTCCTTGGTTGTGATGCTTTAGGTTTGCTCCTGATTTCTAATAAACCTGGGAGGTATTTATAGAACAACTGTTTTTATATTGAGGTTAGATCAAACATAGAAGGGCTCTTTTTACTAAACAGATGACCTTGGAATGCCATTGTTTGCTCTGGATTTTATTTAGGGGTGTTAGATTACAGTAGTTTGAATTAGGCATTGGCAAACAATTTTCAAGTGTCGTATTTTATATCACTTTACTCTTAGTGAAAAATCCAGAGCAATAATCTGCTCATTCTATATAATCAGGCAGTCCACTTGCAGATTTATTTTGGAATATCATTATTTTGATGCTATGCATTGTGAGTGCTTATTTTTAAAGCCCTCTTTTCCCAAACTGCACTCCTCGTCTCATCAGATCGCATGATCTTCTTTCCAATTTTTATATTGCCTACCAAACTAAAGCCTATTTTCCAGAACAGCGTCACTGATTAGTGGATTTCTGAAGGGGACACAGCTGTTTAGCCCCCAACCGTTGAGTTACTTTCACACTGTGTGTGTTGAAATACTCTCACTTCAATGTTGCAC